GGGCGCGCGCCGTCTCGAGGGGGGCCGGGAGGGGTTGGGAGCGACCCGGACTATTCTTGTTAAAGGGGCAATGCTCCCGGGACTGCGGGACCCACCAGATGGGGCCTGGGAACCCAGCCGTTGAGGCAGAAGGGCATGCTGGACGCGGGGGTCAGAGATGGTCTCGGGCTCCTGAAGCAGGCAAAGATGGGGGCGGACCCCGGAGGGGACCCAAGCCCCAGACCCGCGTGCAGGGGGCGGAGCCTCCAACCGGACCCCGCCCGCCAGGTGGCTCCGCCTACGCCCCGCCCCTAACGCGCGACGCCTGTCGGCTCCTGTCTCAACTCTGGCCACCGCCTCTCTCCTCCGGGCTGGGCCGATCGTTCTAGAATTCGCCGCGCAGCTGCCTCAGGTGCTGTGGCCAAGTGCACTCTGCTGCAATAACGGTGTCCCGGCACCCTGTCCCCGCCTGCCCCTCAAGCTCGGCTGTCCCAACATGTCCCGTCGTCGCCTCAGACTGAAGCAACCCCTTCAGGCCTGGTGCTGTCTCAGGCCGGGGCTGTCCCCTTAGGCCCAAGCCACCCCCTGGATCCTACCTAGCACCCCCAGGAGGCATGGGTCCACCACTTAAGGCAGGACTGCATCCTCAGACCCCCAATTCTGCCCTCGGTTTTAGCTGCTCTCTGCCAGGCTCTGGCCACACCTTTGCCCATCTGCTAGGGCCCAAGCTCCCCCCCACCAGAGACCTGGCCACTCCGTTCAGGGCAGGACTACCCTGTGCCCCCAGACTCAGACCAACTCCTCAGCGGAGTGGTCCCTCGGATCTTCATCTCCCCTCTCAGGCGCCAAGACTACCTACCTCCTCACCCCATCCTGCCCATTAGATCTCCAGCCCCCGCTTAGAATCAACTCACTGCCTGAGGTCCAGATGCCCCTCAGCTTCCAACTGGCTCTTGAGTCACCTACACTGTAAGCTCAACTGTCACTAAATACCAAACTCAGCCCTAAATACCACTTTCTCCACCTTTTACCGCACCTAATTGCCTTCTCAGCTCAGGCATGCTTAGTTTTCCTTGGATACAAGGGGGTTTCGTGGGAAGATTCCATTCATTTTCAGTTCCATTTTTTTCATGAACCTCTTGAAGTCCCCTTGTATTTGTTCACTTCTAGCAGTTGCTAATTGGCCTTTTCTGTCCTTTGTTGTTAAATGCTATTGAGTGAAGTCAGTTCCAACTTTAGTGACCCTGTATAGGGTTTTCTAGGAGCAGCTGGTGGGTTGAAACTGCTAACCTTGTGGTTCAAACCAACCTTGCAGTTCAGTGCATTATACTGCAGCACCACACCAGGACTGTCTTTTATGCTGCCTAAGTGCGCTCTCCTAACTTATCTAGTATTCTTAACTGTCTCTTTACACACCCCACCTGACTCTTGGTGGTGGTTACATGCCATCGAGTCGGTTTCCGAGGCTGTAAATCTTTACAGGAGCAGAAAGCCTCATCTTTCTCCCGCAGAATGGCTGGTAGTTTCGAACTGTTGACCTTGCAGTTCACAGCCTGATTCATAACCACTACACTACCAGAGCTCCTTACCTGACTCTTAGGTGATCCTTAAAAAAAAAACAACACTGCTATCAGTCAATTCTGACTCATAGCAACCCTATATAGGATTTCAAAGACTAAATCTTTATGGTTACAAACATCCTTATCTTTCTTTCTGAGAGCAGCTGGTGGTTTTGAGCCACCAAACTGGCAGTTTGCAGCCCAACCTTGGCTGCCCCTAATTCTGGATCCATGCAACTGACTCCTTTGTTCATCTTCCTTACCCATCAACACTGCCAACTGCCTCTTCCTTCCCAATTGACCAGTCTGTCCACACATAAGTTTCACTAACCACTCATACTCAATTTATTTATCAATCTTCAATTCTTCTAACTGGGTCCTAACCACCAATTCTATACCAATTCCCCTGCCCCCATCAGTCTCCACCTGTTCTTTCTCATTTTATCATTTCATATTTCCAGTTCAGTCACTTAGCTGCCAACTGTACATTTCACTTACTCTATACATTTGGCTTCAGAAATTTTACTTTCTCCTTTACTTTGAGCACATCAACCTTTCTTAGGCTCACCATTTTCCGTCTGTATGTTCAGCTAATAAAGCCAGCCCAGAACTAGAAATAACCTTTTAAGCTCCCTTCTTTTGGGAGACCCATAACACCCTCTTCCCAATCTCTAAATCTGCTACTGATCTCCTCCCTGAGCTATTACATGAATGAATGATTCATTTTCTATTATCCTCCCAAGGCCAAGGAGGAGACTCAGTCCAGCCACCCAGCCCAGTCCAGTCATGCAAGTACAAGAAGATGGAGACTTCATCCCCTTTGCCAAGTGAGTCTTCCACACCCAATAGAGAGGATGGGTATAGGATGAAGGGAGCTTTGCATACCTGAGTCCTTTCCTGAGAGGAGTAGGAAGTAAGAAACAAGAAGCTCAATGCTTGACCTCATTAGTTGAATGATAATTCACTCATTTATTCAGCCCATCATTGTAAACACTACAGTGTTCTTGGGCAGTTATTAGGTACAGGAGATTTAGTAGTTAGTAAGATAGGGCCTGCTCTCATACAGCTTACATTCTAGGGGAAAGAGACAGAATGTATAAACAAATATAATCGCAACATGTGAAAAGTCCTATGAATAACATAAAACATAATGTAATGGAAAATAGTGTGTGTGAGGTGACACAAGATTAGATAGAATGTGAAAGACTTCTGGGGAAGTAAATTTGAATTGAAACTTTAATAAATGAGAAGGAGCTAGTCATGAGAAGAACCAAGAGCAGTAGAGGGTAGTAGCAGGTGAAAAAGCCTAAAAAAGAAAACAAGCTTGGTAAGTTATAAGAACAGGGAGCAGAGCAGTATAACTGACATTTAGTGATCGAAGGATGGAGTCCTGGTGTGGCGCTGTGGGTTAATGCGCCAGACTGCAAAGCTGTTTGAACTGCAAGGTCAGCAGTTCAAGCTCACCAGCTGCTCCTTGGAAACCCTATACAGGGTCGGTATGGGTCAGAATTGACTCGACGGCACATAACAGCAGTGATCAAGGAATAGCAGAGACTATAGTCAAAAGCCTTTTAAAGCATTCTTCATGTATGTTGTTCTTGTATGTCTTCATGTATGTCTTCGGTCATTAGTGTCTAATGCATCAAATCGGCTCTTGAGATGGTCTCTGAATTCAGGTAAGATATACTCAAGGACATATTTTGACTCTTGTGGACTTGCTTTAATTTTCTTCAGTTTCAGCATGAACTTGCATATGAACGATTGATGGTCTATTCCACAGTCAGCCCCTGACTTTGTTTTTGCTGATGATACTGAGCTTTTCTGTCATTTCTTCACAAAGATGTAGTCAATTTGATTCCTGTGTATTCCATCTGGTGAGGTCCAGATGGTGGTGTATAGTTGCCATTTATGTTGTTGAAAAATGGTATTCGCAATAAGTCATTGGTCTTGTAAAATTCGATCATGTGATCTCTAGCATCATTTGTATACCAAGGTCATATTTTCCAATGATTGATCCTTCCTCTTTATATCCACCTTTCACATTCCAATCACTTGTAATTATCAGTGCATCTTGATTGCATGTTTAATTAATTTCAGACTGATGAAGTTGATAGAATTCTTCAATTTCATCATCACTGGTTTTAGAGCATTTGGTGCATAAACTTGAATAATAGTGGTATTAACTGGTCTTCCTCTTAGGTGTATGGCTATTATCCTATCACAGATAACATTGAACTTCAATTAAAAAGACTGAAAAAAGAGACTCTGAAACTTGCTTTTGAGTGCAAAGAAACAAAGCAACTGGAAGAAGTGATGACGTAAAATCACTAAACAGAAAATTTTCAAAGGACAGCTTGAGAAGACAAAGCCAAATTATAATGAAATGTGCTAAGACTTAGAGTGAGAAAACCAAAAGGGAGGAACAAGTTCAACATGTCTGAAGCTAAAAGAACTGAAGAAAAAAATTCAAGTTTTGGGTTGCAGTAATGAAAGACTTTATGGGAAAAAATGGTATGGTGCCATAGGATAAGCACTTGACCTTAAGGTTGGTTTGAACTGCAAGGTCAGTGGTTCAAATTCAGCAGCCACTCCTCAGAAACTCTATATAGGGTCGCTACAACTCAGAACTGACTCAGCGGTACTTGAAAACAACAAATGGGAAAAATAGTGAATGATGCTGAAAACATCAAAAGAAGATGGAAGGAATAAACAGAGTCACTGTACCACACCAAAAAATTGTCTGATGCTCATTCATTTCAAGAGATACTGTATGATCAGGAACCAATGGCATTGAAGGAAGAAATCTAAGCAACACTGAAGTCACTCGCAAAATAAAAACAAGGAAGGCTGCAGGAATTGACAGAATACAAATTGAAATGTTTCAATGAACTGATACAGCACTGGAGGCTCTCACTCATCTATGTCAAGAAATTTGGAAGACAGCTACCTCGCCAACCTATTGGAAAAGATCCATATTTATGCCCGTTCCAAAGAAAGGTGACCCAGTGGAATGCAAAAATCCTTGGACAATATCACTAATATTACATGCAAATACAATTTTCCTGATGATAATTAAAAAATGGTTGCAGCAATTCTTCAACAGGAAAGCTGCCAGAAAGTCAATCCAGACTCAGAAGAGGACATGGAATGAAGGATATTGCTGAGATCAGTTGAATATTGGCTGGAAGCAGAGAATGCCAGGAAGATGTTTACTTGTGCTCTATTGACTAAGAAAAGGCATTTGCCTGTGTGGATCATAACAAACTATGGATAACATTGCGAAGAATGGGTATTCTAGAACACTTAATTGTGCTCACGGTGAACCTGTACATAAAATTAGAGGCAGTTGTTCAAACAGAATAAGGGGACACCAGCCACTCACTGGAAACCCTATACAGGTTCTCTATGAGTTGGAAGCGACTCAATGGCATTTAACAATAACAAATGGTTTAAAATTAGGAAAGGTGTGTCAGGGCTGCATCCTTTCCCCATATTTATTCAATCTGAACAAATAATCCAAGAAACTGGATTATATGAAGAAGAATGTGGTATCAAGATTGGAAGAAGAGTCATTAACAGCCTGCAATATGCAGATGATACCATCTTGCTTGCTGAAAATGAAGAGGACTTAAAATACTGATGAAGATCAAACAAAGACTACAGCCTTCAATATTGATTGCACTTCAATGTAAAGAAAATAAAAATTCTCACAACTGGACCAATAACATTATGATTAATGGAAAAAAGATTGAAGTTGCCAGACTTCAATTTGCTTGGATCCACAATCAATGCTCATGGTAGCAGCAGGCAAAAAATCAAATGACGTATGGCAAATCTGCTGCACAAGCCATCTTTAATTCGTTAAAGAGCAAAAATAGCACTTTGAGGACTATGGGGTATCTGACCCAAGCTGTGGTATTTTCAAATACCTCATATGCATGTGAAAGTTGGACAATGAATAAGGAAGACTGGAGAAGAAGAATTGATGCATTTGAATTATGGTGCTAGTGAAGAATATTGAAAGTACCATGGACTGCCAAAAGAACAAACTGGTCTCAGAAGTACAGCCAGAATGCTCCTTAGAAGTGTTATAGTGAGACTTCGTCTCTCATACTTTGGACATATTATCAGAAGGGACCAGTCTTTGGAGGACACCATGCATAGAAAAGTGGAGGGTCAACAAAAAAGAGGAAGACCCCCAAACAGAATGACACAGTGGCAACAACAATGAACCCAAACAATTGTGAGAATAGCGTAGGACAGGGCAGTATCTAGTTCTGTTGTGCATAGGGTCACTATTTGTCGGAACCAGCTCAACAGCACCTAACAACAACATAGTCAAAGAAGTAAGCAGAGGTCAGATCCTGTAGAACGTATAGGCCATTAAAAAGAGGTTGTAGTTTATTCTAAGAACAATAAAAGTCATTGGAAGGTTTTAAGCAAGGAAGTTTGACACGATCACTCTTTTCCAACTTTTTTATTATAGAAAATTTCATATAAATACACAAATAGAAAAAAAATAGTATAACCAACTCTACATATCCTTTTTACTCAGCTTTATTAAGTATCATTGTATGGATAATCTTTTCATCTATACACACTCATTTGGTCCTCTACTTCCCAGCGTATTTTGAAGCAAATCTCAAACTTTATGTTATTTCATTTGATTATGTGTTAAAAGATTATTCTCACTGTTCTGTGCAGAATAGATAGTTGGAGGATAGAAATAGGAGCAAGAAGAGAAAGAGCCTACTGCAGTAGTCTAGGCAGTGGGGGATAGCCTGGAGTAGTGTGGTAGAAATGGAAATGGTGAGAAGTGATCAAATTTGAGTATATTTTAGATAAGAAACAGGACTTGGTGGATTGGATGGGGAAGGTGAGAGAAAATAAAGCATACCAGATATTTAATCCTAGAAACTTGGTGTTTGGAGTGCCTTTCAGTGCCTTTGGGGAGAAGTTAAGTGGGCAGTTGAACCTGAAAATCTGAAGCCCTGGGGAGGAGCCAGGATTAAAAATAGAAATTTGGCATTTTTAACACATTGTTGTTGTTACGTGTGGGGGAGTTGGTTCCAATTCATAGTGGCCCTGTATAGGGTTTCCAAGGAGCAGCTGGTGGGTTTGAACCACTGACCTTGCAGCTGAAACTGATCTTGCACTTCAGTGCACTATCCTACAGCGTCACCAGGACTCCAACATATGGGTGATATTAAAGTCAGGAAAATGGACCTACGGTGAGATGGAGATAGAGAAGACAAAGAGCCCAAGACTAAGTCCTAGGACACTCCATTTCTAGAGATCAGGAGGACAGTCATTCAATCTGGAGGTTTTGGAAGTGAAGAGCACTGTTCTCAAGCAGCTCTGCACATCCATCCCTACTTAAAGGCTATTAGTCCTAAGATAGAGAAACAAGAGTAAACAGAGATTCTACTCTGCTGGATCCTTGCTTTGACTTAAAGAACCCTGACTGTCATATCTCCTGAAAGTCGAGCAACCCTGTGTGCTAAACATGAGACTCTCTGGCTTAAAAGCTTGAAATCCACTCTCACCCCAGTTCCAATGTAGAGCTTCTTTCAAATCAGAAGCCAAATTACCTCTCAACTCAAGTGAGTAAGGGAGGGAGTCAGGAAGACAGGACTCCTGAATCCTTGGTGTGAGCAGGATCTAGAAGGGAAAAGCCAGGCCTGAGCCTACTTTGTCCTCACCTAAGGTGTTCCAGAGTGGTCAGCCGATCTCCACCCCTCAGCTTGCCTTCCCAGAGCCTCAGGATGACGCCTCAGCGTTATGGAGATGTCTTTTGGGAGAACCTTAGTCAAAGGCCCAGGTGAGTAGCAAGGGAGAAAAAGGGGACTAACTAGAGGTAGGAAGGGAGGTGAGGCTGTACAATTTTAAACGATCAGAAAGCCATATAGCAATAAGCCTTTGTCTAGGGGTAATTGCCTAACTGTCTGATGGATGTTGGGCTCAAAGCCATACAGGTGGTTGGGAGAGGCCATTACAGAAGCAATGTGGGTGGGGGTATGCTTCCTGCACTGGCCCACTTTTTGTGTCACAGCCCCATCTGGACAGAGGAACAGTACATTCCACACACGCAGGTAGGACAAACTCTGTGCTTCTATCATCCCCAGCAACCCCTATAACGCCTCCCCTCTAGTGTCCCCAACCAGTGCACTGACCATGCCCTTCCTCCTCATCCCACCCCACCCCCCCCCCCCCCCCCCCCCCGACCCCTGTAAGACTCGTTCTGCTCTCTAGTTCCTTCTCTCCATTCTCTGGCACAGAGAGCCACTGGTTACTCCCAGATTGGCCTATACCCTCCTGAGGGGCTCCCACCCCCTGAGTTGCTTTGCAGAAGAAAGAGAAGGAAGCCACGTTTTGCAGGAGTGCAGCAGGGACCTGGGGGTATTCCAGCCCGGGTAAGGGCTGTTGCTTATCACCTGGAGGATCTACGGAAGCGCCAGGGAATCATTGATGAGTAAGGAGAAGAGAGATTTGAACTCTGGGAGCCTAGCAGGGTCCAAGGACAAGATGGTTTGAGCCAAGGACGGGGTTGAGAGCTTTGAGGGAATTGGAGATTGTTTGAGGATGAGCCTTGGGCTTGGTATGATTGAAGCAGAATTTCTATAATGTGGAGAGGAGGGAGGGAGTTGGATTAAGTGAAAACTGGAAAGCAAACCATAGAATTAGATGCAGTGGGGAGTAGGGGGTCGCTGAGCTGAAAATACTCCAATATAAAGGGAGCAGAAAGTTGGAGATCAGATAACACCCCTAGGTCCCAGCAGGAAGTATTTCAGGCAGAAAGGTGAAGACTGGAGAGGCAAGGAGTCCAGGCACCTCTCTAAGCATAAAGTCTCTGCAGACTGAAGAAGGCTCAGTGGGGCAACTCTGGGACCCCCTCTGAGCCCCTGGTGCTTGGTGAGGAGGGCCCACGAGTCCCCGACATCACTGAATCCACTGACCTGAAAGGAGAGAGGGCAGCCTGCCTACAGGAAGACGACCATTTCCTCACTAGTGGCAGGGCCCAGGTATGGTTGGAGAGAAACTTGGTGGTGGTGGAGGGTGTTGTGGATCTCTGGTCTTGCATGGAAACATGGGGGAAACCTGTCTAGGATTCGAGAGGAACAAAAATAAAGTAGGTAAGCACCAGAGACTTGAGGGTACCTGGGCTTGGGGATTAGGAAACCTGAAGAGAGATATATTGTTTCCACTAGATTTTTTATTTTTCAATTTCCCTCATCTGTACAGCTGCTTTGGTCTCCCTGGAGTCCCCTGAGCCAGGAGTCGTCTTGCCTCAGGGGTCAGAGCTTCCAGGCCTCCTATAACAGTGTCACAGCCAGCAGGAGGCCCCTTTCCGGTCCCTGGGGGATGGAATTTGAATCTGAGGAGTAAGGAGAAAACTTCCACTGTCCCAAGGCGACAGTGCTGCCTACTGGACACCAAACTAGTTCCCCATTTCTGACACGAAGGCCTTTTCCAGCTTCTTTTACCATCCCTGGCACTAGGCATTAACAGCCCCCTTCATGGGAGCTTCCTGAGTTCTGTTTTCCTCTAGAACCCGCTTCTAGCATCACGTTCTCTCTTCTCTGCGCTGTTAATTTAATAAACCAAGTTGCGCCCAGATGTGTGTCTTTCTCTTTGTGAAGCGGGAGGCCAATGGGAAAAGATTCCTTTCCTCTTCTCGAGGATCCAGCTAAAACAAAGTCTGGACGGGACGGGCCGCCCCAGTTCACGAAGAGCTGTCCAGTCTAACATTCCTCGCCAGCCCTTCAACTTCCAGCACCTGACACCACCCCGTCCGGAGTCCGGCAGTCGGCCGAGCTTCCGTCTTCGGGACCCCGGAATCCTGCCCTCAGCACTGTTGCCCTTTTAGAAGCTTCCCAGCAGCCCGTCACTCAGTCTGGCTCAGGACCCCGGAAGTCAAGACCCCGCCCAGCGCCCCACCCAGAGCCCCACGTGTGCTGACCCTTGGTTCCTTTCCCGACCCCCATCCCCTTAATTGGGAGGCCCCGCCCCGTGCGCAGTGACGTAGGACGCCGCTGTCAGCCGGCGCCTGGGGGGGGGGGTCGGTGTGGGGTAGAATGGCCGCTGCCGCCGTCACCCGCGGGACCCCTGGAGGTAAGAGTCAGGGCCTGTCGCCTACCTCTCCGCCCCCGCGCCAGGGGGCGCAGCTCAACCGGGTCTGTCCGTGGAGCGCTGCGCAGGGGACCACCGTCCTTCCTCCCGGTTCACCCCCCACCTTCCCGCTTCCGTCCTCCTCCCCCGCGCCAGGGGGCGCCGCTCCGCTCAGGGTCCCACCGCAGAGCTGCTCCTGCCGGGGACTGTCCTGGGGACCACTGACCCCGGCATTCGCACTACCCCTCGCCTGCCGCGCGCCCGCGGACTTTGTCCACGGCTTCTTCAGAACATCTCACTGTGCGGGCGGGACCCTCCCACCTTGGAGATCCTCCGGGGACCACCGCCCGGCCATGGGGGACCGCCCCGCGGACCAGGCGTGTGAATCGGGCGCCGCCCCAGGCCCTTTCCCTCTCCGCACCCTGGCAGGCTGCCTAGCCGGGAATGCGCACCTGCGCCTTGGGGCGGAGTCCTTACCCCTAAGCCCAGCTTCAGTGCACACAGCCCAGCTGGGACGGGCCTCCTCCCCCTCTGCATCTCCGACACCTGGCGGAGCCCGTGCTGAGAGCCTCCTCCAGCTTCCATCTGTTCCCCCACGAGGGTGGGGGCCTCGGGCGGACTCGAGTGGTAGATGGGGTAGGGTAGGCCTGGAGGCCGGGGGAGGCAGAGACGTTTGGGGAGAAGTGTGCTGCAGAGAGGCTGTCAGTCTAAGGACGGAGGATGGGTTGTCCTGAGGGTGGGAAGCTGGGTCTATCCCAAGTTCTGCCAGGCTCTGAGCAATGTGGAGGAGAGAGAGCAGGATAGCGTTGGTTATCAGATCTGCCCTCCCTCTTGGAAAAATCAAATAGAGAAGGAACTCAGGGTGTGTCTTCTAAGGCCTGCTCTCCCCGCAGCATTCCGGTTCTCTGACGGTTCTCTGTCGCCAAACTGTCCTCCAAGGACCAGATGTCCTGAACCCCAGTCCCCAAACCAAGGCTCTGAGGCCCAACCTTCTCCCCTCGCCCACCCCTCTTTCTCCTGACACTCTGTATCCTCGCTGAAATTGGTTCCTGGCACCACTCTGCGATCTCCCTCACCTTCATTCCCTGCCACAGCTCTCACATCATAGTCTAGCCCCTTCCTCTCTTTTCCTCATCCTGTACATACAGATATACTGACCAGTTCTGTACTCCTTCCCATCTCTCCTGTATTAGTGTGGGGGCTTCTGCCTTGACCTTGTTCTCTCCTTTCCCAGCACAGACTCCCCCTCCCCCCGGCCCCTCAGGCCGGGGGTGACCTTGCCCCCTGGACCCCTCACCATGAATACCAAGGACACCACTGAGGTCGCTGGTAAGTTCACAAGCCAAAGTTCCATTGGGTTTAGCCTTTTTTCCTTCCCATACAGGGGTGACTCTCTAATTCTTGGATCCCCATCACTACTCCCCTTAAGTCATTGCCTTAGTATCCCCCCAAGTCCTCTGGGGTATCAGCTCCTTTCCCCTGGGCTGTCCCAGGAATATCAGGGGTGATACACAATACCCACCCTTCTAATTTTCTCTAGAGAACAGCCACCACCTGAAGATCTTTCTTCCCAAGAAGCTGCTGGAGTGTCTTCCTCGATGTCCACTGCTGCCCCCAGAGCGGCTACGGTGGAATACAAATGAGGTTTTCCAGGGACCCTGGGGAGTAGAGCCTAGCAAAGCCTCCTGGGTGACCATGGGCGGGAGGAGGGTGAAAGGGCTCAACACTCCTAAATGCAGAGCATTGTTGTAGGCTCTTTCGGGATTGTAACCAAAACCAAACCTGCCACCATGGAGTCTTCCAATAGCAACCTTATAAGACAGGCTTCAACTGCTCCTTAGTGTTTCTGAGACTTATAAATCTTTACAGAAGCAGACAGCCTCATCTTTTTATTTCAGTGCAGCTGGTAGGTTTGACTACCAACCTTGTGCTTAGCAGTCCAGTGCTTATCCTTAGGCACCGCTAAGACTCCTTTTGGGCATGATGTTGTTAAGTACCATGGAGTCGGTTCTGACTCATAGTGACCCTGCACAGGGTTTCTGAGGCTGTGATGTTGTTGCTAAGTGTTATTAATTTGGTTCCGACTTATAGCGACCCTGTAAAGATTTCCAGGGGGCAGCTGGTAAGTTTGAACTGCTGACCTTGTTGTTGGTTATCCAGTGCTGATCTTACAGCGCCACACCAGGATGTTGTTGTTAAGTGTGGTCAAGTCGATTCCCACTCATAGCAATCCTGTGTAGGGTTTCCAAGGAGCTGCTGGTGAGCTTGAATTGCCGACTATGTGATTCAAACCGGCCTTGCAGTCCAGCGCATTAACCCATAGCACTACACCAGGACTCCTCGTCAAGAGAGAAAAAGTGGAAAAACATGGACCTCATAGGAGCCCAATACTTGGTTTATACCCAACCTACCACCATCAAGTCGATTCCGACTCATAGTGACCCTGTATTGGGTTTCTAAGGCTATAATCTTTAAGGGAGCAGAAAGCCTCACATCTCCCGAGGAGCAGTTGGTGGGTTCAAACTGTTGACTTTGCAGTTAGCAGTCCAGTGCTTATCCCATAGCACTCTACCTTATATATAGGACAGGGCACAACTTCTCCTTAGGGTTTCTGAGACATGTAATTCTTTATGGAAGCAGAAAGCTTCCTTTGATATACGTTGTTGTTAAATACTGTCGAGTTGGTTCTAACTAGTAGCAACCCTGTATTAGGATTTCTGAGGAGCAGCTGGTGGGTTTGAACCACTGACCTCGCTGTTAACATTAGCAGTCCAGTGCTTATCCTACAGTGCCATACTAGGACTCCCTTTTGGCATATACACCTGGGTAAAAATAATTGCTACCACCTATGAAGTAATTCTTACATCGCAGACACTGTGCACTGAGCTGCCTTGCCTGGTTTAGTTTAGTTCTGTAAGGATGCGACAGATAGGCCCTGCTGTTATCCCCGTGATACAGATGAGGAAACCGATTGGCATCACGTGGTTTATCTCACTCCATAGTTGAGGCTTTTAACCACTGATAATGCCTTCTTTGGATGACTGGGTCCTTGTGTAGATACTTCTGTACTCCTGCATGCAATGCACTGCATGGAGTTTTTTTAAAAAGAAAAATGCCAAGCCCACTGCCATTCCATGATTCCAACTCACAGTGACTGCAGAGGACAGAGCAGAATGCTTCCCTGGGGTTTCTGAGGTGCTCAATCCTATGGGAGTAGAATGCCTCAACTTGCTCTCATGTAATAGTGGGTTCAAACTGCTGACCTTGTGGTTGGCAGCCCAACACGTAAGCCGCCATGCCAGCGGGGCTCCTTGTTAGTGGAGCATGTAGTTAGTGGTGGTTAGGAAAGAGCCATCAATGACAGGATATGTGTGTGTATTGTTACTGTAAGTGCTATTGAGCCTCTAAGGAGCCCTGGTGGTACAGCAGGTCAGCAGTTTGAATATCCCAGCTGCTCCATGGGAGGAAGATGCAACTTTCTGCTCCTGTAAATACTTACAGCCTTGATGACCCTATATAGGGTCACTATGACTCGGTACACCATCACCACCACTACAGAGCCTCCAGGAATGGCCAGGGTGGTCAGCAGGGCTTTGTAGAGCACCTGGAGAGGGCTTGGTCTGTTGGATGGCTAGGGTTTCCAGAGCTGGAGATTTGTGCACACAGCTCTGCAGGCTAACAGAACTCTCCCAGTAAAGGAGGTAAGCATTCAAGACATGCTCTGAGAGAAATCCGTGGATCATTCAGGAGTAGTAGCTATTAGCTTTGATTCCTGACCAAGGGTATCTCAGAGGCAGGTTACAGAATATGGAATTACTGGCAGAGTCAAATCATTGAAGTGTTTTGAGTCAGGACGTAGCACAAAAATGGTATTTGGGGAGACTAAAAATAATATGCAGTATGAGGATGGATGATGAAGAACTTGAACTTGGCGCCAAGATAAAGACCCCACTTGGATGAGGGAGGAGGAGGGAAGGTTCGATTTTTGTCTGCAATGGAGTCTGGGATTCTTAGGAGGGTGGTGGTTCTTGTTGGGTCCAGATCCCTGGAAGCATCCTCCGTTATCTGCCAGAACTCAGCAAACAGTAAGACTCTGAGGGGCTGACTTAGACCAGGCAGACACCCACATGAATGGCTGCTCTCCTATAGGAGATTGCATCTTATTTGATCACCTTTGAGAAGCATGATGAGTGGTTATCCTGTGCCCCAAAGACAAGGTGAGAAAGTTACCAACGATGGGGTGTGACAGGGGTGGCAGCTCCTGTGCAGAGACCTTGAGGCCATCCGTCCCCTCCCCAGGCCTCAGAATGGCTCCATCATCCTTTACAACCGCAAGAAGGTGAAATACCGTAAGGATGGTTACCTCTGGAAGAAGCGGAAGGATGGGAAGACCACCCGAGAGGACCACATGAAGCTGAAGGTCCAGGGCATGGAGGTAAGAGAGTCGGCATCCACTCTCTGCTTTCCATTTCCCTTCATGACCCAACTCTTCTCTTCGGGACCTAGAGCAGGCCTCCACCTCGGACACATCCTCAGGCCCCCCCACTTCTCTTGCATTTCTCTCAGGAAGTTCCTCTTTTTCCCAAATCATTATTCCTCATCTCCACTGCACCCTTGCACTGCCCTCTGATTTCTAGAGCGTTCCATATTCCAAATCTGGTCCTCTTTGTAGGGCCTCAGGCTCCACCTTTCCCTTCGCTCCCTCCCCATCTATGACTCAGGCTGTTGGCATTTGAAGGAGGTGGGAAATAGGTGGGG